AAAAATAAAGAGTAGAAGAGCACCGCTACTTCTTGGAACAGGTCAAAGCAGCCCGACCTGCAGAAAGACGTAGGCTTATCATAGGACTGGAGGCTTGCCACCCATATTGCGAGAATGTATTTTAGAAGATCCATTGTTTTCAGAAATGTAAAAATACCTTTATACTAAATTCAGTAAATGTGTCCATCTGGAACTACATTTGCTTGTGTGCACACCCTTCAATTCTCATTTGTACGTGCATATGGGCAAATGCTTTTACATGATATTTTTAAGAAATTAACATTCTGATTATAGCATACAGGGCTCTTTAATGTGCTATCCTAAACATTCATTACATGGCTAAAATGTTCAGAATACTCAAAGAAATAGACTTGTGTGGAAATCCAACACATGATAAATGATAGCTGCATGAGAAAAATAAAGCCATAAACATATGGATGGCAAGGATATTGTCAGCATATTTAAATATTACTTTTCCAGCAGAGAACTTCTAACTTCCTGGTTATGACCAACTAAAGATTCAAGGGAAATTATTGGAATTACTCTGTTTCTGGTCTAGGGATTAGGGAGATGGGTGAGTGCAGGGTGGATTTATCATTACTCTGCAAAATTTCTTTGATGGTATCATTTGTCAAATTATTCGTTATGTCACAATAGTCAGTTACTTACGGATAAACATACAATGGAACTTTAAAAAGTTCACAGAAAATGGGTATTATGAGAATAATTATGCATGGATTTCAACATTTTCAAAATAACCTTATCTTTTAATTCTGTTTTCAATGAGCATCTTGAAGTACCTGTGGGTTTTAGAGTTCTCCTGGAGGTGAGAATCGGCTCTCCCACTTCCTGGAATCCAATCTACAAGTCAGCTGCTCTTATTTTCTCCCTGGTGTACTATGAGCTCTTGAAGGGCAGTGACCGTGTCCATGGATTTCATGGCCTGGCAGCATGGCTGGCAAGAGCATGGGTGAGGAAGAGATGGGTGAGGAAGGAGGATGGGAGCCCCAGCCAGCCAGCTCTGGTTGCCACAGAGGGCAGAGTGGGTGGGAAGTGGGCAAGAGAAGGGTGTCAAGGTGCACACGCCTGGGGACAGCCACAGCTCTGAGTTCATCTGAGTAATTGGGCCCAGAGAAAAGTAATGGTGCAGGCTGCTCTACGTTGGGAGATAGGATTTCAAAGCGTAACAGCTAACCAGCACAATGGCCATGTGTGGTTATGGAGAAGCTACGCAAAGTCTAATTATGAGATGGGTCAGACAGGGCCATTTCTAGTGGACAGCTCAGGCAGCAGCCGTGTCCAACGTCCGATACACAGAGAGCTGCTCTCGTTGTCCTCTTTCTAAGTCTCCATAAATCCACAGGAAGCTTCTGTTTATCGATTTTATTTGCAGAATGCACTCAGGGTATAAAGTAATTTGATTTTTTTAAAAATGGGGTTTAGGGTCTGCCCCTACAGGGTTATAACTTACAAAGCATAAAAGCCAACACATAAAAACAAACACAATTTAAAGAGAGAAGGGCTCACGGCAGCAGAACCTGGGAATCGGGCACGGTGGTGGGATTACTTGCAGGCGCGCCCACACTCCCATATATCTGCTGGGCTTAAATCTCCTGGTGGCTGATATTTTGGATGCCTTTCATGCATGGCATTGTTGAACTGTTTTTGAAAAATGCACCAGTCCCCCAGAGGAGAGCACCACAGTTATTTAGCAAATATACAAGGAGAAGGAGGAGTTTCTTTATTGTTTACCAGAGCTAAAAATAACACTGTGAATGTTAACCACCTTTGCAGCCTGTGTAAAATGTGTCCTTTTCCCATCAAAGTCAGCAGCCCCGACTGATCAATGCCATTAACGTGGTCCCTGATCCAGCTCCTCATGTGTGTTGCAAGCTCTGCAGTTTGCAGGCTGTAAACTGAAGAATAAATAGCACCTCATGTTTTTATACTTCTTTTGCCGAGAATCTTTTCTTTTTAATTCTAAGTAATCGTCGGTAATTAAATTTTATAGAAGACTTTTTCTTTACCAACCCCATTAAGATTCTGTTGCGCTTGTCTCTTGCCTCATTTTTTTTTTAAAAGAAAAAAGCAAAAAGCTGCCGCATCTGTGCCTTACCCACTTTGCACGGATTCTCGGCTCTGTGGTTCACAGTATGCATTCGAGACGAGCAGTCTGCACTTGGAATCCTAAATGCCATGGAGTGTAAGCAAAGCGACTGGCAGAATGGCATATGGCGGAGAACAAGGCGCACAGAGCTAGCGAGGCGCTGGTGGATAATGAATGGCCGCAGTGAGACCTATGGGCGATTACATCACAGTGACAGTCGTGGACCCTGAGTCCACGGAGCTGTGTTCTTAGCTGTGCAGCATAGCAGCCACAACTTCAAAAGAGGCAGGGGAGCTGTGAAGTGCTGGGGACACCGATGGTACACCTGGCCGCCAGCAATCAGAGTCCTTTGAAATGGACTCTTAAAGGCAGAGCATCAAAGAACATCATCAGCTTCTGCACACAGCCTCTGTGGCTGCGGACGAGAGCACAGTCTTAGCCTGTTGGGCATGGGCCAATGGGAAATCTCTTTGGTGACATCTGCACTCATGGAAAACATCACCACCCAACACAGCATCTTTGAAAATAGATGCAAGGATACCTCTGGCCCTCAGATACAAAGCTCAGCTGTGACTCCTCGCCGGGAAGGGTCTCGTCTGACCCTTCTGTCACTCAAAATGTTGCAGTCCGGAGCTGAAAAGACAAAGTGCTGATGCCAGTGCATCCCTATTCACCTCTGGGTTAGCATCTCACCACCCATCTTCCATTCAGCTGCACAGGGCAGGCAGACCTCAGCAGTCAGCATGGCGGGGCAGGGAGGTGGGGGGCAGGGGCCGATGGGGTGGGAGGGAGACACTGATGTCAAGTCACGGTTACAGGGAGCTTGCCATGTGCCAAGCAGGGGGTCACAGCTCGTCTCAAAGCCAAGCGCAATCACTCCTCCTCCCCCATTTTATACCTGAGGATATGAGGGAGGGCTCCAAGAAGATACTTAACAAGCCCCAGGCTACCTGCAGCCGAGTGGTGAAACCAAGGGCACTCATCACCCTCGCCTTTTATTTCCAGAAAGCCCTCAAATTGCTTCATTGAGTCATATTTCTTCAATAGGAACTATGTTCTGAGAAAGAACTTTTTTTTTTTAATTTAGCCATGGGAATGATATCTTTGAAAGCAGTGCTTATACATTTAAACATGTTGTCATTTATAAATGAAGCCATTTGATAAGTGCCTTTGAAGCTGTGATTGGAACGTTGACTTCTGCTGCCAATATTATGGTCCTTGAACACATAATGAAAGTGCAGCTCAGACACAGGGCAGAGAACGATGCGGGAGGAGCTGGGCTACGGGACACTGCCCAGCAAAAGTCGGAGGCAAAGAAACAGCTGCAGTAGGGCAATCTGGGGCTCTCTTCCTTGAGACATTGTCTTTTTTTTGGGGGGGGGACAGGCAGAGTGGACAGTGAGAGAGAGAGACAGAGAGAAAGGTCTTCCTTTTGCTGTTGGTTCACCCTCCAGTGGCCGCCGCGGCCGGCGCGCTGCGGCCGGAGCACCGCGCTGATCCGAAGGCAGGAGCCAGGTGCTTCTCCTGGTCTCTCATGGGGTGCAGGGCCCAAGGACTTGGGCCATCCTCCACTGCACTCCCGGCCCACAGCAGAGAGCTGGCCTGGAAGAGAGGCAACCAGGACAGAATCTGGTGCCCCGACCGGGACTAGAACCCGGTGTACCGGCGCCGCAAGGTGGAGGATGAGCCTATTGAGCCGCGGCGCCGGCTAGAGACATTGTCTTTTCAGCTGTGGCTGATAGGATGATCTCCCTCAGTGTCACCTGGGCACCGCACTAAGCATGCATTCCTTAGAGTGAAGCCTGGGATCTGAGTTTTCCCAGTCTGCCCAGGTGATGTTATGCACAGCAAAGCATGAGAGCTTTGGTGCTAGACTAGAATCGTCCATCCAACTTAGGCCAGAAATTGGGAAAATGCTACGTGGAATAATACTACTCAAGACTAGAGAGTAAAATAGCCAGTGTCTGTACGCCCCTATGGAGAGTGACGTATCCCAGCTTCCAGAGACACCCTGAACCCCTGCACCAAGATGGTGCTATAAAATGAATAGGGTCACCAGGGACTTGAGCAGCCGTGGAAGGGTTCTTATATGGCAACATCTCTCTTTCTGTTTTCTGGAACGCCATGACCAGAGATGACAATGTCTGGGTGACTACATTTTTAGCAATGTCTCCGTCCTTTTAGCTCTTCCTCTGGCCTTGCGTGAACCTTCAAGTAATTCCGACAGGAGAAATAAGTTAAGTAGCTATTAATTTAGCAGAAATTCTGTTATCTATAAAATAGGCAGGGTGGAACGGAAGAATGGTAACGGCTAACCCTTTTTAAACCTTTATGAATGCATTACTTCATTTTGCTTTTGATGAAATATACAACGTAGTGGTCATCATTTTTGTTTCACAAGTGCAGGCACTGAGGTCTAGGGCTTTGCCCAAGAGCCCACGTAAACAATAAGCAGCCCAGCCATTTTGTCACTCATTCAACAAATACGGAGTTTGTCTACAGTATGCTAGACACTTTTTCAAGAACTGGGACTACAGCAATGAGAAAAAGTAGATCAGCTTCTGCTCTCAGGGAGAGGCTGCTGATCAAAGCCACCTGACCAAAATCCAGATGCTTGGGTCTGTGTCTCAGAAGCCCTGCACAGTCATCATAGTCCTTGCCGCCTTCGGGCTTCTTGGCTCCCCCTACCTGTGTAATGCGGGGCATGACAGGACTCTGGGAACCTGGGAGAGAGCAGGTGCTCAGAGCAGGCACAGGGAATCTCAGAACCGAAGGAGGCAGACACAGACAACTAAGTAACCAGTCGTACAAGCGCTCCCTGACTCCCTGATCGCGGCTTGCTTCTGCTGGGGCTTGCCAGGATAACACTCGCCTGTTCTCGCTCCTCCTGCAGCAGCAGTATCGGCGTGTTTTTCTGTGGACCCAGAGCTCTCTCAAAGTCGCTTCAAAGGATGTGCCGCTTGTATTCATCAGCTGACCCCAGGGGTGTACATTTTTATTACAGCAAGGAAAGCTTCTAGACGTCGGAGGTAAACTCCTTTCATGGTGTAAGTGGCTGCAATCATGTGGGTCAGGGAACTTTTCCAGTAAAGAGAAATCACTTAAGGGTTTCTGGACGTGGAGTGCAATCACATGGCTCAGTGTGCCAGAGTAGTTGCAAACAAAGGCATTAGCTAGTGGGGGGTGCGATGGTGTTCCAATAAAGCTTTATTTATACACACTGAAGTCAAATGTCATGGAGTTTTCTTACATCATGAAATAGTTTTTAATAGTCTTCATAATTTTAAAATGTATAAGTTATTCTTAACTCATGGACCACCCAAATTAGGTGGTGGACATTTGGCCTCCAGGACACAGCTGTGCTGAGCTCCGATGTAGGTCACCTTCCCAATCCTGTTTCCATGCCGGACGTGAAAGTGGAGACTCCTCTTGCTGTTCGACTTGACGAGGTCTCTCCTAGCAGCCATTTCCAATTTGCATGACCCCGATGGCCTTCTAACCAAACGGGAGGCATTCTGTTTGTACTGAAGCTGCTTCATGCTGTTTTTAAGCCCCCTATTGACCAGAGAAAATCACCAGTAGGAATTATCTGTCCTTTATACACTTGAAAATGACAATGAAATCATCCTTACCATTACCTTTTCTGATTCAAAGAATACTAAAGGCTTAACATTTCAGCCTATGGTATATATTCTAGCCCTGCAATTACTCTTGTTCTTTCTTCCATTTCTTCACATCCTTTTTTCAAATGTGTTGACTAAAATGAGACATAAAGTTCCAGCACAAGCATGACTGGTAAATGAATGACTTTTTTAGACCTTGTATATCAAATATATTCAATTAAATTCTGTTCACCTCCCTCCCTCCCTTATTTCCTCCTTTCTTTCCCTATATGTTTCCTTCCATGTTTCTTTCTCTCTCTCCTTTAACAAATGCTTCCTTATTCCTGTCATATTTTAGTCCATGGTCATCTTGATATCTATAACCCAACTCAACTTCCATCCCACAAAATAACTGGTATTTTTTGTTAATTTCCATTGAACCAATCTTTCCATACCATGAAGTTATTTTACACTAAATTATTATTCACATTTTGTAGGTGTCTCTACTCATATTTTAGACATTTTTTGTCTAATGTTTCAAGATTGTTTTAAAGTTTAGCCCCAGGTACCAGAATTCATATGTAGCTTTGCAATATCTATAGATTTCATTAGTGATCTTTCAAATCTTTTTTCTTTAGGTTTTCAATCACGTTATTGACTTCAGATACCTCCGGCAGGGGTTCCTGTGACTGCCTGTTAATATTAGTGTCCACCCGGGAATCCTTTATGACAGCTAGCCATTGACAACAATATACCGCATCAGACTGCCTTAGCTTATGAATAGCATGCCGAACACAATAGAGCTAAAACGTTTACTGAAATTAAAACAGATTATGTTTTTCAAATGCTTCTTATCATTTAGATTGTCATTCTGTCACAAAAGAAAATTAAATTGGTCTGACGTGTTTTGTCTTACAAAATCAGGCAGCCATGTAAGCTTTCCAAATATTTCTAAATTATGAACTGATCATCAATGGATATGTATTCTATGAGTTCTGAGGAATATACTCTTTAGGTTTAAAATGCTGATTATAGTCCATAATATCACAAAAATGTTTCTACTAACTCTGCCCTGTAATTTCTCTGTATATTTAAGTATTGCATGATACATATCATTGAAACTTTACTAATGTTAATACAGCCAATCATTCTGTGCAATTATTTCCCCATTTAGATTTGAATCAGCCTTTGCAACTAGCAATGTCTATAGTCAATCTATCCTTTAACAGGAAAATTAAATATATTGGATTTTGTTCTCTTGGTCAAATTCAATTATTGTTTTTCTTGATCTGTGTATTTGAAAATAAAATATACTTTTTGGTCCACTGATTTTTGTCTAATAAATTTAAATACACTTGTCCTTACAATATGATTTTTAAAACTGATTTTCCATGTCTTCAGATCTCTGGGGATGCTATCTGCACCCCCATTTATTTTTGAGCTTTACTATTACTTCCTTACATACTATGTGGACTCTGACCTGACCAAGCAGAAAAATATTACAAAGTAGTTTCCTTTAATACAACAATAACAAAATAGAAAATGTGGATTTCCTTCAAAAGAGGAAATAGTCTACTCAAATTAGAAACAAACATATAAGGGTTGGTGTTGTGGCACAGCAAGTTAAGCCACCACGTGTGACGCCAGCATCCCGTATCAGAGTGCCGGTTCAAGTCCTGGTTGCTCCACTTCAGATGCAGCTTCCTGCTAATGCCCCTGGAAGGGCAACAGATGGTGGCCCAAGTACTTGGAAGTATTGTGGGAGACCCTGATGGATTTCCTGGCTATTAACTTTGTCCTGGGCCAGACCTGGTTTTGCAGCTATTTGGTGAATAAATCAGCAGGTGGAAGATCTCTCCCTGTCACTGTCATGCTGCCTTTCAAATACATCTTTTTTAAAGTATCAAACACATAAACTTGCTTAATAAAAGAATTCAAGATGATTGATAAGTGAACCAAAATTTATGGGGAACAGATATTTATATTTAATGGGTAGAAATAGTATGTCCCTAAATAGGATTATTAAACATACTAAAGAAATCAATTTGTTCCAAATGAATAAATCAGCTAATGGAACTCCAATCAAAATTTAAATTCCTTTTAAATTCTTTGAAAGGGTAGCTACTCTAAAATTCACCTATAAGAATATGAGAGAAGCAAAATAAAAAACATGCAAAACAACAAAGGAAACAAAGGAGTGGAAGAAGAAATAAAGAGAGGGGAGAAGGAAGAGAAAAAAGAAAACCGAAGGGAAGGAAGAGTCCATATCCAGAGCAACATCGTGAAGTAGAAGACCTTGGAGCAGGCAGGCAGAGTTAAACTGCCTTCAAGTGCCCAGCAATAGGTGTGGCATCTGCCTCTCAACTGCATCCGTTGAAACCAGGTGATAATGAGATAGAACCTTCAACCTGCTAAGGACCACAACTATGGGTTGAGAATTTGGGGCTCACTGAAATCAATATTCAAAGAAGAAGGAAGGCAAACACAGATATTTCTGAACAAAGGAAAACTGAAATTTACTTCCCTCACTGAAATAACTACAAAAGAACATCGTTAAGGATGGAAGAGGACATAAATTTAATGGGATGCACTCGGTAGTGATGAGCAAAGAAACTGCTAAATGCTTTGTCAGAATCTCTGGGCATTGACTACAAAAGAAAATGATTATCCCAGGAGGAGTGCTTCTTGAAAGGAAAACTAAAATACCGGACAACTAACGTGGCATGGTAAGATGTCATTGGAGTGAAGGCATTCTGTGGTTCTTACATTGCTCAGGAAGATGAAGGAATTATCAAGTCAGTGGAGCTGTCATTAAGTTCTATAACTGAATGAAAAGAGAGAACTCTACGTGGGTTCACTTAAGAGTAAGGCTAGGTCCTCTGGTCTTAAGTTTCTACTGAGCCTAAGTTTCTAATGTATTGCATTGCAAAACAATGTGTCTTAACAAGCTCTCATGAGTGCTGCATCCCCTGAGTTATTTCGTATTGAGAACATCTGTCTGTTGATTTTTACTCAACTGCTATCTGGGCTGTCATCGTGTCATCATGTTCTTGGACGTCTTCTCTTCCTATCGGAGTTTTCTAGATCTCCCCTAGTGTTTCCTGTCATTGGACATGGCCATGGTGGGGAATGAGGCCAACTTCACCCTCTTCCCTTTGTAAGCAAATTACTTTCTTTGCCCAGATGCCTCAATAATTCTTCCTTTGAACTTCTTTGAAGTTCAATCCTTTTAGTATTGAGTATTTCACATGAATGTTTCCTTAATTACTTTATGAGCTTTTTTTCTTCACTTCAGGAAAATTGTCTTGTATTAGGTCTTTGTATACACTTTTGGTTTTTGTTTGTCACCTAATTCAGAACCATTGATTATTCTTACACGGATCTTTTTTTATTTCCATTCTGTTAGTTTTCTAATTACTTTCATTTCTTTGTCTCTTTTATTTACATATGGTTTCTGTTAATGTATTACTGTATCAAAATCTCTTTCTGAAACTCTGGGGGCTAAGATGATTTTAGAATTCAAAGTGATTACATATTTTAGAAATTAACAAATGCATTGTACTTATGTTGCATGATCATTCCAGTAGAATCTGGGCAGTACTCAAAAGTATTAATGTTTTTCCAATGAAAGTTATAAATAGGAATATTCAGAATAACTTCAGCAAAGATTATATGTAGCATCACATCTGTTCAGGACATGCTACGCCACCAAGTGGATTACGAAAAAAAGAACAAAGCAAAACAAAACAACTCACTTTTCATAGTTTTTTTAGATTCTGGGATTTCAGATTAAAGAAGAATTTGGACTTGGAACTCAGTTTTCAGTAATGTCTTTCATGTTCTTTACTGTTTACAAATTTTTAAGTTCTATAAAGATGCTGCTTTGAGCCTTGCTTTGTCACCATAGACTTGCAATATCTCTTTTGATCTAATTTTGTTTGTTTTTCACTATTGGATCTTATCCAAAACATCATTGCCTGTTCCCATGCCTTTTAGTGTTCCCCTTATGTTTTCCACTAGGAGTTTGATAGTTTCAGTCTTATTTTCTAATAGATTGGGTTATATTTTTCTTGTTCTAGGTTATATTTTTCTTCTTCTTCTACATTGTATTTTCCCTTTTTCCCAATTACTATTTCCTTTTTTCCCAATTACTATCTAATCCTGTGGATCTTTTTCAGTTTGTGTTGGTTCACACAGCCCAGACATTTAATTGTGAATAAGTTCTTGATTCTACCATCTCTAAGACCATTATTGAGATATAATTCTGCTACCATAACATTGCCTCCATTTAAAGTATACCATTCAGGCCGGCGCCGCGGCTCACTAGGCTAATCCTCTGCCTGAAGCGCCAGCACACCGGGTTCTAGTTCTGGTCGGGGCGCCGGATTCTGTCCCGGTTGCCCCTCTTCCAGGCCAGCTCTCTGCTGTGGCCCGGGAGTGCAGTAGAGGATGGCCCAAGTGCTTGGGCCCTGCACCCTATGGGAGACCAGGAGAAGCACCTGGCTCTTAGCTTTGGATCAGCGTGGTGTGCCGGCCGTGGCGGCCATTGGAGGGTGAACCAACAGCAAAAGGAAGACCTTTCTCTCTGTCTCTCTCTCTCATTGTCCACTCTGCCTGTCAAAAATAAATAAATAAATAAACAAAATAAAAACAAAAGTATACCATTCAACAGTTTGAATGTATTTACAGAGTTGTAGAACCATCTCCAAAGTCGATTCTAAAATGATTTTATTAATCCAAAAAGAAACTTACATCCATTAGCAGTCACTTCTTATTTCTCTCCAAGCAATGAAAACCCTAGGCAACCACTACTCTACTTTCTGTCTTTACAAAGTTGCCTATTCTGGACCTTTAATGTAAATGAAATTATACTGTGTATCGTCCTCCATGATTGGCTCTGTTCACTCAGGATAATGCTTTCCAGGCTCATCCATGATATAGCAAGGATCAGCCCTCCATCTCTTTGCTTTTGTTAACAACATTGCATTATATATGTATACACATTTTATTTATCAGTTTGTAGACATTGATTTGTTTCTACTTTGGGGCCATTTTGAATAATGCTTCTGAGAATGTTCATGTACAAGGTTTTTTCGAAGATTTATTTACTTGAAAATCAGAGAGAGAGAAAGAGAGATCTTTCATCTGCTGTTTCACTCCCCAAATGGCGGCAACAGCCAAAGCTGGATTAGACCAAAGCCAGAATCCAGGAACTACACCTGGTCTCCTATATGTGTGGCAGGAACTCACACATTTGGACCATCTTCTGCTGCCTTCCCAAGTGCATTAGCTGTGAGCTGGATCAGAAGAGGAGCAACCAAGGCTTAGACCAGCACCCATATGCAATGCTGTTTCCCTCTTTTGACTTCTGTGACTTAACAGTCTCTTTGTATTCATCTCATCTTCCTTCCTCCAATTTCAGAATATTGGTGTGTCATAGGACTTGGTTGTTTTTCCAACTATTGTCTTCCCTTTAATAGTATCCAAAACCCTATGGCTACAAATACTACCAAAAATTAAAACTCTAGGGTAGAATTCTCCCCCGGATTCCATTCTGCCTGTTCCACCATTGGAAATAAATTAAACATCTCATATTTAACATAATCAAAACCACGTTTTTTGTTTTTTTATCCTCACAATCCTGCTCTTTCTTCAGTGTATGTTACTTCAGTTAATGGCACCATCATCTACCAATATGCATAAGCTAAATACCTCTAGGTCATGTTTGATTTCCTTTTCTCCTCATCCCTCACTCAAAATTCTATCCCAAATCACTTTTCTGTCATCCTATTTGTGTGCTATTTCCCTATAAATGTTTCAGAGAGTATAAATTGTGCTTTTGTGGCCTCCAATGTATATAGTAGAAATTTCAAAGTTGGTATCGCTGCTTATATCTAAGCCAATTCCAGGAAAACGTACATCCCTGCAAGCCAGTTTCATCCACGCTACTGACAAGAATAAAGCGCTGCTCACCAGAACACCCCGACTTTCCCTTCTTGAAGCGGTGGCTGGATCCTTGTTGAGCATATTTTCATCTCCATAGAACTGTCACCACCAAACAATCTATGTTATACACCTGCCAGTTATATGACGCTGGATATTGTTCTTTTCTCTTTTTTCTTTTATTCAACTTTTGGAAAGTTCTCCCTAGTAATTTTTATAAAAATATGTGTAGCCCTCTACGTTGCTTTGTCCCAATTCTTCTGCCTCAATGGAACAAAAAGAAAAGCTGCTTTAGAAGTTCTTTATCAATTCCAAACCATTATAAAAAGGCTTGGTTGTTGTTAAAGACAGCAACTCAGTAAGGATCCAGTCTCAATTTACTGATTCAGCTAAGTAATGCCC